GGATTTTGCTTTCAGTTACAGCATTATCCCAGAGTTACTCTGAGTAATACTTTGCATACATATGTATATAGAAATAGAAATTTCGCTGTGGGAGGTACTGTATATCATGTGGGACTTTCTGAAGTGGAGAACTTGCTGTGTAAATTTACATGGTGGACTGCCTATGATTTTGCATAGTACAAGCTGTTCTGGATTGCCTGCATTAGACCATGTGGCATAGACAGAAATTGCCTCCTCAGCCTCAGTTCTGTGCCTTCAACCCCAGGAGACCAGTCTGTGGGACAAGGAGTGACATTTCTCTGAGGTGCTCCCAGAGTATTTCAGAGCAGAATTTTGTTCTAAACATGCATTCATGATTTTTACTTTGGTGTGCTCGGCCCTATGGTTTCAAACTATTAGGACTTTGGACACTACTGGTATTGGGGAGGCAAGTTTCTTACTGCCGAAGAGCAGAAGATGAACATCAACCATTTGGACACATGCAATGTGCTTGCACATGCTTTATTGTGCTTGAAGAAGGGGTTAATGCAGACCTAGGGTGGAGGCTATGAGAAAGGCAGCAGTGGCAAGTGCAGAAAACAAACTGTGACCAGAGAAGGTGAAATGGAGATTTGTTTTCTGAGTCCAGCACAGAGGAATTTTAGCATCAAGTTTGCTGCCTGTTCAGCCTTTATTGAACTTTCTCAAAGGGTTGTTCTTTATATGTGTCTCAGTAAAAATGAGAAACACGTTGCTTTGATGTAGGTTTTCTTTCTTTGAGTAAAGAACAGGCCATCCAGGTGCTCAACCCTTCCTAAGAGGAAAACTTAAATAAGGCAGCCAGTATACCCAGCCTGTCCCTTGCATTTTGGAGGGTTAAACTTCATGTAAATTTGTGAAGCTGGCACATATAAAAGCATACTCTACCCTCTGTATTTTTTCCCACTGGTATGTTGTCTGCTCACAAAAGTGGTATTTCTATGTCATTTTCTCCAGATATTCCCATTGTTTTGTTGGTGGGGTTTTTTTGGTTTTGTTTTTGGTTTTGGTTTTTTCCCCCCCTACCTACACATTCCATTTTAGTGTGCCATCTGCTTTCAACCTGCTTAGTGTTATACTCCAGCTTTTAATGACAGAGGAATTCAAGTGCCAGGGTCTGTATTTTATTGCTAAAGATGGCATGCAGACCTTCTTTAAATGATTCCAATTCATCTAAAGCCCCTGTTTGGATGGTTTTCAAAGGCAGCTTAGGGTTATCAAGCTTCTACTGCAGATCTTGCTAATCTTTTTAAAGGGACTCTCTCTGAGGTTCTTTAACTTCCTAAACACTCCTTTTTGCCTACTTCAAAGCTAGGAAATATGGGTGTTTTTATGTGAAAATTTCATACATCCTTGTCTTAATTTTTCTTGACAGATGCAAGCTGTTGTGTGACCTAAAATCCAGGAAAAAAAAACAACAGAAACCCTACCTTAAAAATGTATAAAATAATTTTTGTCATTTTTACACTTCAGACTGAAACTTTCTTAAATACCTGACGCTTTAAAGTCTTGCGTCTTGCTTATTTCTGGAGAAGAGACTGAATCAAAATAGTGTGGACCTTCGACTCAGGAATCTATCTTAATTTTGAAGTGTTTGCAACTGCTGGTAGCTGCAACAAGTACCCCAGTCAGTTTCAGCTACTTTTTGTTTCTCCAGCTTTGGATATTGCATCTTTCTCTGTAGGCCAGCTTTCTGAAGTTCAGCAAATAACCTCCATGAGTGTCCTGGGGCTGTTCTCCGCAGTGGACGCTTCTCCTCCCTGACATGCATGAGGGATTGTGCTGAGCTGGAGGCAAACTGCCAGTCAGGAGAGATTGCACTGAACCTTTCTTTTCTTCAGCTTAGGCATGTGGTCCACGTGTGCAGAAGAGCCCTGCTTTGGCGTTGCCGGTTGTGTCCCAAGTGCCTGTCAAAGCAAGAAGGCCACATAAATTGGCAAGCAGCAATAAAAAAGATTTTGTGCACAGTGTTGTTTCTAGGACTTTTGTACCCACAGAACACTGGGGTTTTTTTTGGGTGGATTTCTGAATAGATGTTTTATTCCCTTAGATTTTAAACTGTGATTTCTACTTGCATATATGTCTATATGAAATCCCAGTGGGCATTAATCTGCATTTTTAAGCACTTTAAATATCTTTACAGTGTTGTTCTTCACTTATCTGTGGGGAGATAACTCCTCAGTGGAAGCTAAAATTCTTTATAGAAATACCTCTGCTGTACAGAAAAGATATTTTTCTCCATGAAATTGTAGATCGGTTTTGTTAATATTCCCAAGTAATTTCCCAGCAAAGATCAAATTCTCTGTTATATTTTGTACATTTACCCAGAAATCTAAGAGAAACTTTTGCCTTTTTTTTTTTCTTTTTTTGTTAGTGGAAAAGCCTAATTGGAATGGACGAAATGACATTATTAAATACCAGAATGAAGATCACCAGGGAAATAATCGAGCTGCTGATACTCTGATACTTTAATGTTAACTCAGTGCTTCTAAATAATCAGTAATCAGCAGCTTGAATTAGACTGAGATAGACTCAGCTAAGTGCTTGACTACTCAAAGTGAGTGCAAGAGATTTGGGGAAAAGTTCAGTGCAGTCAGGGAAAAAAATGTACTGCATTAAATATGCAGGACTAAAGAAATCATGCTTCTATTTTATTTTAAGTAAACACATTATCTTTTGATATATGTTGGTCTTTCTTCATGTGAATCATGAATCTTGCAGCACTTCAAGCCCTGATTAATATTCTTAATTACTCTCCCTTTTTCATTCTTGCAGCTGGCAGATGGAATGCTGCAGATCAGACAGTGCCATATCAGTAGTGTTTATACGTCTGTGAACAAATGGTGTTATAGCCTGCGCGTTTATCCCCTTTGATCCATACACGACTGAAGCAAGGTGCAATAATCAAGACTTTATTTAATTTTTTTCTTTCTCTTTCCTGTCTCTGTGGTGTTAACCCTGTTGGGAGCAGATGATAGGACATGGACTGTGAGCCAATCTCTGTAATGACAAACAATTTTCAGTGAAAAGGACATCTGGAAATCCTAGGACATCTACATCCAGAATGGATATCTGCATCCATTCTCTCTGGACAAGATATGCTAGAGAAATGTCTATCTTCTAGTAAGTTAGGCTGAAAATTCTCAGTGGGAGTGTCAGCAGTTTTTGTGATTTTCTGTGCCAGTGCTAATTAGGGTGGATATACAAAGAATCCAAAAGAAAGAGCATAATATCAGTAAAAAACTGAGAGATGATTTCTAATTAGCTGAAAAGTGAATGAAGGTTCAGTAATTCCTTCTGTTTGCTAGGGGCAAAGAATGAGTTCTCTAAATGAAAGAATCCTAATTACTCTAGAAATTTAAGTTTTTCAGATCTTTCTATTTCTTATGTGTTTTCACACTACCTTCCAGGTCAAAGAATAACTTTTCTCACTAGCAGCAATGCAAAGTCTATTTTGATAGGAAAAGCAAGACCTTCCTTCTCTGTCATGACTGTTAGCAAAACCAGTAGATGAAGAGTGACCAGTTGATTTTATAATGTGCACATTGGTTTGTTGATGTTAAAATTAGATGACATTTTATGTGGTCAGCATTGCTATCATAATCTATGTGTTTACAATGAAAATATTTTAGCCTAAGGAAATACATTATGCTATGCATAATTCACTTGGCTTTTGGACACAGGAAGGTTTCTGTGTTTTTCAGTTAGTTTTGTAAGAGGAAATGTTTTCTCATGCATTGTGTAGGACTTGTAAATATACTGTCCCATGAAGGCACCAGAATCTGACTAATATGAGGTGATTGGCTAAAATTCAGGACTCTACTTTGAATATTCATCTTGTTGGAATAATTTAGGTAATGAATCAAATGACCTCCTGTGATTGCTTGGATGTGATTATGAAAAAAAAAAAGGAAAAAAAGATGTACAGTATCACAGGTTATGACACCAGCACATAGAACTGCAGCAGAGCCCTCAAGCTCAGACATCATAATTCCTCATCAGCTATTTCTCTGAAATGTTTGGAACTTTGTCATTAAAAGGACTCTGTGGTTATAACAATGATGTCAACTTGCAGGAATTCAAAGAAATGTGTATTGAAGAATACACAGTGAAACTATTGGATGTGAGGCTACAAAATGTCCATTTAATTATCAGAAATATTCTAAACATGTGTCCGTTTAGGGCCTATCACTTCCACCCTGGCTGCAGCCTCAGGTGTCAATGCAAAGCAAAGCTAACTCAGCTTAGTAATTCCTATGACTTCCATCAGTAAGGTGGTAGTCTAAGCAGGTTCCTACACTGGCATACTTACTTATAAGACTTTCCTTTTCTTATAGTTCCAACTCCTTTTGGTTGAAACTGTATCTCAGTTCATGTTATTATTCTCACTATTAATAGCTGAAGGGACTCCTGTAAGCTGTGTCTGGTTAGAATTCCCTGGATGTGTCAATTGTTCTCTCCATTGCTGTTGTTGTCACCGAACTTACATTTTTGTAGCAGCATTTGTCATGATGCTAAATTCTCGTAGTTGCTGCATAGGTGTTGTAAAGTGTAAAGTGTTTTATGCATTCTGTGCTGGAAACCAAGGCATCACGGGGTTGCATGAGGTACCGACACCTTTCTTATTTTGAACAAAACTACCTCATTCTTTTTTTTGTTTTCTGCTTCAGTGTCTATAATAATTATAATTAAATGAAATTTGTTGAGGTGTTTCATGTATGTGGTGGGGTAAAGATGTGCCTTTTTGATTTGATTTACCACTCTGATGTACAAAATGCCTCTGGTAACATGTGACAGTTATAACACCGTTCTCATTCCAGGCAGGTTTCCGGCTAAAACCTGAGGTATATTAGAGAATTTGTCTGATACAAATTGGCCCTGTTCTTACAGGACACCAAATCAACAAGTCTAACATCTGCAAACCAGGATTTTTTTCCTTCCTTCCAGGCATGCCATCACTGTTGTTCTTTGGCGTCTGAACTCACGGTGAACTGAGTTTATCTTCATTAGATAAATCTATCTTCAAAGATAGGCTTTATCTTCATTACAGGATAATATAATGTGTAAGTGAAAATTGGTAATGAGATGTTACTGCTCTTGGAGTGTGATTTATTAGGAGGAAGCTAAATTCTGGTTAAACAAATACACTTCTATTTGAATGTTGACAGAAGATGCGTAGAGCATCTGATCATTCCTTATATCTTTAAGAAGTGGCTTCCTAATGAAATCAGATACTTTAAGTATCTAGATCTCTAGCTCAAAACTTATTTGACATTTCATTATCATATGAATCACTTTTTGGCTTGGCGAGTTTAGACATAAAACTTGGATACTAAGTACTGTGTGAAAAATTGACTAGGGGAATTATAAAGATTCTAATATCTCAGCATTTTCTTTGCTTTTATTGATCACTGCAATCTTGATGATGTGTCAGCAGCCAAAAAGCATTCTAAGTAAGTTGATATATTAAAAATGATCCAACCTTTTATCTAGATTTATATTAGATGCAATCAGGTGACACACAACTGTGATCTCCTTTGTGACTTTCAAAATTGGTTACGTCACAATCAAAGGAAATTTGACTGAATAATATTAATATTTTATTGCTAGTTGTGCTTATTTATTCAGACATTTACTTTGATATGGTCCCTAACATTTATTCTGAATGAAAGTCTAGAGACTTATAACCACCCTAAAAAATGTAGTTTTCCAACAGAAAATTGTTTGTGTTTAAGTATAGTACATGCTTAGTTGTTACAGAACTGTTGCATCATCCTAACTATCACATTTTGGCTTTATACAGGTTTTAGTGAATTATATCCCGACTAAAACAGCAAAAAAATTACTGTTAACAAATGTGACAGTTTCTGTTGGGATTTTTTTTAAGGTTGACTAGATTAAATTGGATTTATCTGAAACCTGGTGTGTCATGTAATAAAATGGGTAGGGTGTTTGGTTAAAACATAGGTTTTAACTCATGTTAGCTAAATTATATACCCTAAAAACTACAGCACTTTTTAGTTGTTCAAAATGCATGTAAAAGGTAAAGCTTATAGTAAAAAAAAAAGACTGAGAATGTCAAAATGATGTTTAACAAAGAGGTAGTTCTATTTTATAATAAATCCCAACCACGTCTAAATTATTGCCATATCAGCTGCTAAAGGTTTCATTTTTTATTGCTTATTACCCAGGTAAGGCAGGGGAATGAACAGCCATGTACATGCAAAGCTCTTCCTTGGGTAAGTCACTAAAGGGGAGTGGTCTAGGGAGAGATGGGTCTCAGGGAAAGATGGGCTCAAATCTGTATTCTATCACAAACTTCCCCTGAGGTTAAGCAGGGGGAGACCATAAATCCCATATGTAAAGAAAAGGGATTGTTTTTATTTTCAGTGGGTCATAAAATACCAAGGGCTGCTGTAGACCTAAGGAGAGACTTGTGCTCTGCTTTTTCTACTTTCCTAAGTGAGGATTAATGAACTTTTTGGTTTTACAGCGTGCTCTGAAGTCACAGAATCGGTTTCCATTCATCAGTCTGGAAACAAAGATCATTGCACAGAGTAGCCTAACATTGTCTAGCAGAACTGTTTTGGAAACCTCTGAAGAGAAGAAGAAGGAAAAAAGTTAACAACATGATTGGATCAACACATAAATAAAAAAAAAAAAAACAAAACCACAAAAATGGTGTGTTTCCAGAGTGTGAGTAAGAGAAGATGGAAGGAAAAGAGACAATTAAATAGTCAAAAGGAAGAAGATGCATTCTGACCTAGGGGTTGTTGGGGACCTGCATGTCTGGAAACCCAGGACCCGTTGTGTCTTTCTGCTTCTACTTTTTTCCTCTTCTGCTTTGGTGACACTGCATTTTGGGGGAAAATCACAGAATATTCAGAATTGGAGGGAGCCTAAATGAAAGGTAATCCTTAAGGAAACCTCATGTGTGCCCAGAGATTGTTTCTTCACACTGTCAAGGTAGATGCCACATATCTGCCTTTTTTCTTCAGAGGGTGCTTTTCTTCCTTCAATGTTCCTAGGGTTCACCCAGACCTTTGTATCTGCCTGGTCTTTTCTATGTGAAGACTTCAGCAACAAAGCTGATCTCAAATTTCTCTGCCAGGTTACTTCCTGCCTTCTACCTTTACCTCTGAAAAAGTCCATTCATTTTCTATGCTAGCCTCTATTCCTCTTCACTCCAGAATGTGCTCAGAACACATCTGACTTTCAACTCAGCTCTCTATTGTCTTGCAATTTTAGTATGTGTCAAATGCAAACCCAGAAGCACACCTTTTCCCACTTGCTGTTGTTAACTGATTATTTCTTTGTAGGTGAGGATTTTCTTCAAGGAAAAAATATCTCTAATGCAGCAGATATGAAAATATATTTTTTTCTGCATGGATATATTTCTAATATCCTTTTCCGGCAATAACTGAGCAAGCAAAGCAAGGGAATTTTATGTTGCTGCCTAGTCAAACTCTCTTCCTGACATGTAGTCTGTCTGCTGTGCTCATGAATGTTACAGCAGAAATGTACATCAGGTTAACCAGCTTTGTCTCTCCAGAGCAGAAAGGTGGGCTTTAATCTGCAGTAGAAGTCTCCCTGATCTGTCAAAGAAATTCTTTCTATTAACTCTAATAGCCCAAAGCCTCATGCTGTGCTCCCTTGCTTTTCTTCCCTATTGCTACTTCCACATTGATCTGAACTTCAGTTGCATGATCCTGACCACAAAGTCTAGTGTCTCTTTTAGGTGCTGTTTCTCCTGCTCACACCTGACATATTGCATCTCCAGAACTAAGGGAGATTTATCAGGACTGTACTACACTTCTTCCAAATCAGACCTTCTTTGAGAGCAGAACAAGTGGTGCCTTCTGTTTAACACTGCTAGCCCTTGTCCAATTTTCAATATCTAATGGGAGGATTTTTATATTTGAAAAGTGATGCTTGTGTATGCAGCCAAAATTAAAGATAGTTTTCTATTCAAGGTAGAGCTCAAGCAGTCTCTGCCTCAGGGATTCCTGCCCTGCTTTTCCAATGCTTCTTGAAAAGCTCCAAGTTGTACCAACCTATTTGTTCCCTGATCTTTACCAAGCCAGGACACCATTCTAAAACAATAGAAAGTGACCACTGTCTTTTTTACAACAGGCTATAAAAGCATAAAAATTACACTGTGTTGAAGGTATATAAAACCCTCAGAGTCCAATAAAGCCAGCTGATGGAGCTGAAAGCTTTGATAGCCTCTGCAAGGGGCACCTTTGGGTCAGTGTCTGCTGAGTGATTTCCATATGAAAGGGGTACTGTTTGGGAGGAGAAGGACAGGGATTTTGCTTTTAACTAGCCTACACTGAATAGAGAAGGGCTGGTGGGGGCATCTGAGAAAGTTGTGTATAACGGATGGTTCTTTGGGACTGGACTTAGGAACATGGCCAAGCCTCTAGACATCAGTGTGGTTGGTGCTTTCCAGATGAATGAGAGATGAAGGACATAGAGATAGATGTGGAAGACCAGAATGATCTTAAAAACTATTCTGGGAAATATCTTAGTAGTCATATTCTTTTCCAAGGTGTATGCCAGTAAGCTTTAGATGCTATTCTGAAAAAGAGCTGTAAGGAGAGTTTTGGAAGGAAGCAGGCTTTCACAAAGCCTGGACTAACAGCTGGAGCATGAAGTCCACATACACAACACAGAAAAAGTGAGGACTATGAATTCTATCTGGGGGGAAAGGTCCAAGTCTAAATGTGGCGGGAAGAATGTGACAAGGAATCATGGGAATTGTAGTTTTTGGGTTCTCACGCATGCTCAATCAATACTTGATTGTCATTGGTTGAAAGATCATGTGACATGTTTAAGTGCTGTATTTAAACCTAAGTGTTTTGAAATAAATCTCAATTCTGGTCTGGCACTGGTTCGTGTCTGAGCTGGGTTCGTGCCTTAAAACAACACCTCATCTAGATGAAATGGCTTTCCTTAATATTTCCTTAATATTTCCTCAGTGTTCTAGATTAGTACAGCATTTTGGGGTGCACGGCACTTTTCTCAACTTCTTCTCAGCCAAGTGAGCAGCACTGGAGTAGTAAAGCCTGTGCTGTCCCTGGGGCAGGTCAGTCCTGTTCTATTCGTGTTTCTGTCCAGGAGTGTTACTTGCACCAGGACATCACAGGGATACCACGCTGTTGCAATGAAAGTACCTTCTAGTTCTCCCCATGCGATTTATTTCATTCCTGTTCTGCTGCCCTGTGCCATGTTTTTTGCAGAGAGAGCACTACACAGGACTCTACAGTCACCCTAGATGATTTTGCATTTGTGTGACTTGGCAGAGGTGGGAGAGAGATGAAAGGTGCAAGCATACTCCTGTCTTGTCATAAAAGGCAAGTGTAAAGGGACCAGGGGATTTTGTGGCTGAAGACTTGTCTACGTACTCTGGAGTCCTTATGACTTAAATTTTGTATCAGTGAAGCTTTACTGATTGCAAGACTTATTTCCTGACTCATGTCATCTTAAAGGAGAGCAGCACCTGAGCTATGCAGCTCAGACATGAATTGCCATCTACATCTTCATGGCATCCCTGTTGGCTGATGGAAGAGGCTTTATGTAGGTGGAGTTCCACCTAAATGAGAGAAAAGCTTTGGGAAGATCAGAGCTGTGCTCAGCACCTTGCGCAGCATGGGTCCTTCCTTCTTTCAGCATTTGGTGATTTCCAAAGCACAACTGCAAAAAAATTTAAGTTGCTTGATTGTACAAGGAGTTCAAGTATGTGTACATATAACAGTCCTGTGAATGATGTCATCATTCTCTGAAACAATCCATTAATGATTTGATTTCAGTAAAATGGGATTTTTACCCCTCCACAGAATGGGAATGGGGGTTGTGAAGAGTGCTCTTTCATGCTGTAAAATATGACTACAACCACCCCTTACTGACACACACTGCTGGGGTTATCCTTTGTGTGAAGTTTAGTTTTAGTTTTGTCCTCATCAAAATTTCTCTGGAATGAAAGGTGAAAAAATGTGATTCTCTGAGTTACTGAGAGCAGGAGATCTGTCTAAGAAGGCTCCAAGATTCATGTTGGCCCATTTCTGATGGGCCTGCCCTCTTTAGTGTTCTTATTTATGGACCTGTTAACAAAACGCTGCTTTGGGATATATATTTTTTTTCCTTTAAGGGAAAAAGCTTTCACATTTGGTCTGGAAATGAGGTTGCTTAAGCTTTTGCTCATTTTGCACTGGAGCTGCCACATCTGCAGCTGGAACTATGCCAAGACTCTGATGGAAGAACAAGCAGATGGACTTCTAACCTTTACAAAGGGTATATTACAGCAAAGCAAATGGGAATTAAATTAAAGAAACCATACACTCGGTCATTTTATATGAAAATGGGTAAAGTTCAGACTTATCTTTGTATTGGAAACAGTTCTGTGCTCTGGTTTTATTTTATTTTGTTGAGAGGGAAAGGAGGAATCCCTCTGCCCCAGTGGTGCCACAGCAGGAAAGTAAAAATTCATTATTTTGTTCCAGACACAAACATTCTTGGTGAGAAAACATTAGAGTGGAATGTAGAATTGAAATTTCATGGTTTAACCCTGGCAGGCAGCTAACCCCCATCCAGCCGCTCTCTCATTCCCCACTGGTAGGTTGGGGGGGAGAACTGGGAGTGTAAAAGGATAAAGGCAGTTCAACTGGTAAAGCAAAAGCTGCACATGCAAGGGAAGCAAAACAAGGAATTAATTCACCACTTCCCATGGGCAGGCAGGTGTTCAGCTGTCCCAAGGAAAGCAGGGCTCCATCACGTGTAATGGTGACTTAGGAAGACAAACACCATCACTCTGAATGTGCTAGAGCAGCTTTGGTGGCACTGAATGTCCAGACAGGGTCAGCACAGAGCACCCAGACTAAAATAGTACAAAGAGAAACCTCATAAAGTTGAAGACATTCATGGGTATTGAAACAGGTCACTTTTTTTTCCTTGTGCATTATAAATGGGATTCAGACGAACAAGCACAGGTTCTGCTCTTTAGATTACACTTTTCCTTAAGCCATATCCTTGACTTTCTCATTTGATTTGATGTAAGAGGTTATTAAGTGACACTTCATGACCTAAGATCCAAGTTTAGAGGGTGATGAATTCTGTCTTAGCAGCTCATGTTTCCCTGGAAATTTTTTTGGGGATGAAAAAGCTACTGCTATCATTACTCAGTGTCAACAACATTAAAAAAAATAAAAGTCATACAGTTAAATTGGAAATTAGGAACAAAAGATAGGACTCTTCTCTAACATCCTGCCTATAAACATTTCTTTAAGACAGAATATCTCTCTGCTGCTTTTACAGTCAAGGAAAATATCTCCTATTCTGGTTTCATGGAGAACAGAACAAATTGGAAAAAACTGTAGAAGTAGGAGAGAAGTAAGCTCATAGAGATCATAACTTTTAGGTAGAGCACAAGGTAAAAAAGATATGAATACATAGTACTGCCAGCAGAGAGGCTGTTAACAGAAAGAATTAACTACATATTCAGTAGAAAGTCTCCAGTCTGTGTAGTGTTCAGTGGTGCTACTGGTGTGTCTCTGGGTAAACTAAAGCAAAACCTCATTAAAATGTAGCTCCTGGTGATTCTTGTAAAGCCTGCATT